GGATGGAAAATGCTAATAACCAACAGCATATGCTAGGTTGGTCAATTGAATGCGCTGTATTGCCATTTCAGTAACAGAATATAATAGAATTCTTTATTGGCCAAGTGTGGTTGGACACACAAGGAATTTGTCTTGGTGCAAATACTCTCAGTATACATAAAAGAAAAGATACATTCATCAAGAGTCAAGAATCATAAGGTACAATACTTAATAATAGTCATAGGGTACAAATAAGCAATCAAATCCAAGATGGAAGACAGCAATGTATAGGAATTCAAAGCTTATCACATATGGAGTTGTCCACATACGCCAATATACGCATCTATACATATAATTAATATACAAAGATATGCAACTTTTCTGTTTAAGTAAAGAATCGTGAGAGAGATTTGAGAACGAGTTGCCGCTGCTTTATTTTAGTCAGTGCTTCACATTTTCAAAGTTAAGGTAATGTCTTAAAAATGTTTACTTGGCTTTCTTTCCATCAAGCAGACCAGAATAGAAGTAAATAATCTCCAGGGAAAGGCAGGACCAAACAACCGAGAACTAGTAGAATGTAATGATAAGAAGAGAGTAGATATCCAGAATATTCACAAATCAAACCTACATCAAGGGAGAGAACTCACATTGTATGTACACCTTTAGAATACGAAATGTTTATTTGTAGGGCCTGTGGTAGGCTGGATTCCAAACTGAGCCACATTATTTAGGAATAGTGTCTAGGCAAGTCACAAACACCAGTTTTTGAGCAACTTCTGAATAGGTTTTAGGCAGGGGCTGGCTGCTGGGAGTTCACAGGGGTTCAGGAGAGCCCCTAGTTAAGATTCTATGCAGTTTGGAGAACCCCCAAATCCCACTCCTGGCTGGCCCCTCCTACCCCACCCTGCCCCTCCCAGGAGACCCCACATGGCCCATTTTGAATGCAGGTAAGAACAGGGTGCGTGTGGAGGCTCAGGGAGGGCCAAAAACGGGCCTCCCGGAAGTTTGGGAAGGCCAGAAATGGGCCTGTTTCCAGCTTCCAGAGAGCCTCCGGAGCCCAGGGAAGGCAAAAACACCCCCCCCCATGGCCGTGGTGCAGGAGGCCAACTAGGCCCCGCCCACCATGACCACGCCCACCCAGCAATCGGGCAGAGAACCCATTGCTAACATTTTTGAAGCCCACCCCTGGTTTTATGGAACAGTGGATCATTTTGGTTTCATTATTACGTAATGATAATTCAAATGACAAAATTCCTCCAAGTAGGCTTCAAACCTGGCATTGCTTTATTTAAAAATCAAAGCCTCCAGAACGAATGGAATTGGTGACAAACGTTTCCTCCTTGGGGATCAAATAAATCATTTCCACCGCTTTCCAGTCCATCCTTTCGGCTAAAACACCTTTTATGCCGCTTTCCCGCTTGTTTTAAAAGTAGGGAAGGTTGCAAATGAATTTGCCTAAGTAATTTTTAAAAAAAAAATATTTTGAAAGGAGAAAGAAAGTAACAACAACAACAAAAACACACCTGGGGTTTGTAATAAATCTTCTTGTGGTGTGTGTGTGTGTGCCTTATTTTTTTCTTTTCCTTTCATTTGACCTTGGTGGAGCAAGCTAGTGGCGCAGTGGAAAATATGATATGACAAATGAATGAGGGGAACCAGCTGAGTGGTGAATCTGTCTTGTGTGGCATTAACTTTGAAAATCTCACAAACATTACGGAGTCACATTGCTGCCCTCTTTTCCTTTCCCTTTTCTATCCCCAATTCATCTCACTGTCACTGCGCAATGGTCACTTGTGATGAATAGAGGAACAATATGTTAAATACAGGCTTTGATTTAATCGGGATCTGCAAGCTAGTGTTCTGACCCAGGCTTCATCAAACTTAATAAAACGCAAACTGAATTTAAAAGTAAAACCTTTTTTAATGCGACGCTGGGAATTTACTTGCATTCCCAGCCAAGACTCATTAGACACAGTTCCTCCAGATAAGAGCACGCTTTTCAGTGCCGCACAATGCTGCCAAGAAAAAGAAGTCCAATTAAGGCTAATCATAAACCAATCCCAAAACCCAGATACAACCGACCAGAGTACAGAGCTTCACGAAGGACTTGGAGATTACTGAACTGCTTTGCTTCCTGCAAAGCTCTTCATCATTGAAGACTGACTTTTATCCCTGATGGGAGGAGCAATCACCTCCCGGGCTTACTCCCAAGTCGCCCCTTTTGCTTCAGCTGCTTTCTCCTTCGAGCAGCCCTGCGCACACATGCTCTGGGAACAGGCTCCCCGGGGTCCTCTGCTTCTCTGCTGTCAGTCGCCGAAGGCTCCAAAGGCAACACCCCACTCCCAGATGGTCCTGGCCCCATCCCTGCATCAGATGCAGGACCCTCATCCAAGTCCTCCCCAGACTCCAGACTGGTCCCCTTTCTTCTTCACTGTCCGATACCTCTGCCATCTGCATCGGCTGCCGGTGAACCACAACAACTAGGATATATTTTTTTTCCAAGCACAATGCAGATAGTCCTTAACTTACGACCACAACTGAGCCAAAATTTCAGCTGCTGAGCGAGACAGTTATTAAGTGAAATTTGTCCCGCTCTATGAACTCCCTTTCCCGCAGCCATTAAGTGAAAACATTGCATTTGCTAAATTAGTAACACGGTTGTATAATGAATCCGGCTTCCCCGTTGACTTTGCTTGTCTGAATGTTGCAAAAGAAGATCATGTGACCCCAGGGACGTGCAACAGTCACAAATGTGAACCAGTTTCCAAGGGCTGAATTTTGATCACACAGACATGGAGATGTTGCAATGGTCATAGGTGTGAAAGGCAGTTGAATAATCACTAAATTAGATCACCTGGACAAGTGGCATATAATACTGTTCCCTCAAATTAGATGTACCGCTCTGAATCATAACTCATTCCTTGGAGAAGCTCCTGGGAATTGTTTTCCTAAGTGGCACAAGAAAAAAAGTGGGTTGCATCTAAAATAGTGAAAATGTGCTTTAAAAACACACTAGGTTCAATGAGCCCGTTTAATTGAATTTAAAATATATAAAAATTAGAAAGCCCCAAAATATTTTCATATTTGCACATATAGAATAGAATAGAATTCTGTGTTGGCCAAGTGTGATTGGACACACAAGAAATTTGTCTTTGGTGCAGATGCTCTCGTTGTACATAAAAGAAAAGATGCATTCATCAAGAATCATCAGGTACAACACTTAATAATAGTTACAGGGTAACAGTAAGCAATAAAATCATACTATGAAACAGTCAATATAAATCGTAAGGATACAAGTGACAAAGTTACAGTCATACAGTCACAAGTGGGAGAGGATGGGTGATAAGGAGTGATGAGAAGATTAATAGTAATAGTAGTGCAGACTTTGTAAATAGTTGGACAGTGTTGAGGGAATTATTTGTTTAACAGTGATGGCATTTGGGAAAAAACTGTCCTTGTGTCTAGTTGTTCTGGTGTGCAGTGCTCTATAGCGTCGTTTTGAGGGAAGGAGTTGAAACAGTTTATGTCCAGGATGTGAGGGGTCTGTAAATATTTTCACAGCAGTATACAGGTCTCATGCAGGATTCTGTCACATGCAGGATGGAAGGCAGGTTGGTAGTAAATTGTTTTTTTCATGTATGTTCTTATTAATGTTGCCCCTGGGACTATATAGGACAGATGGGAAGGAATCTAACCACCAGATTGCAAAAACACGTGAGTGGTCAGATGAGGAGACCTGAACTCTTTGGTAGCCTCACACTGTAGCAGACACATATTCAATTTTGCAGCTACTAAGATTGTCAGACGAGCAGGCACAAAAAAAGCCAGGGAAGTGATTGAAGCCTGGAAAACAGATACCTCAGACACCTCGTCAGTCAGCAGGAGTGCTGATTGACCATCAACTTATCAAATACTTAGAAGGTGAGGGCTGGGCAGCACAAGCAAATGACACTTAAGGACTTAAAAACCAGCCATCAATAAACCCCAATCAACATCTGAAAAGCCACATAAACACAGGCACTATAAATACCACACACAGAACAGTACACAGAAGTTCTCCTCTGGTCTTGGTGACTTACTAATATAGAACATGGAAGCACTGGAGGGCAAAGCAATATCCTTATTTTGCTCTTTTAGCAAAGCTGAAAAAAAAAATTAGAATTTTGTGAATTCTGATGTAGGCCTGGGGACCTGTGCTTCTGAATCAGAATATTGATAACTATTGATCAGTCAGTCAGAATAGAGCTGGAAGGGGCCAGTTCAAGGAGGAGACCCTATTTCATTTCAGACAAATGTTTATCCAATCTCTTCTTAAAAACTTCCAGTGTTGGAGCATTCACAACCTCCGAAGGCAAGTTGTTCCATTGATTAATTGTTTTCACTATCGGGAAATTTCTCCGTAGTTCTAGCTTCCTTCTCTCTTTGATTAGTTTCCACCCATTGCTTCTTGTCCTGCCTTCTAATGCTTTGGAGAATAATTTGACCCCCTCTTTTTTTTGTGACAGCCCCTCAAATACTGAAATACTACCATCATATACCCTATCATATTCTGTACACTAGCCCTTCTTTTGTCTAGACTGGCCATACCCAAAATCCTGCAAATGTTCTTCATAGGTTTTTTTTGTCTCCAGGTCTTTAATCTTCCTAGTTGTTCTTCTCTGCTTTTTTTCCCAAACTCTCAACATCTTTTTTGTAATGGGGTGACCAAAACTGGATGCAGTATTCCAGGCATGGTCTTAGCAAGGCTTTATAAAGTAGCACTAATACTAATTGATAAAATGTGATTACCATTACACAGAAGATAATGGATAATGGATCAACCACTGAGGGAGTAAATTTTGATACTGCCTTTTAAAGAAAACATGCCATTTTTTTTTCAACCCTTACAGACCCTTTATAAAAATTCAATAAGTAATTCCTTTCATTAATATGATGGTGGTATTACAATGGTGTTCCTTTGTGATAAAAAATAAAAATAAAAACTGTAGGATCAAATTATAAACAACCGACAGTAATTTTTAAAATATATGTTCATGTATACAGGATGGCGTTCTCAAAAACGTATCTCGTTTGATGGTTTCTTTAAAGTTTTAAATGGTGTGCGTATGTGTGTGTGTGAGGGAGAGAGAGAGAGAGACAACTAAATCATTTCTTTTTCTGTCTCTCTCACTTTTTTTTCTTTAGAAATACCCCTTTTCTTCCCGTTGTAGAAACAGTGGGCATCTGTCTTACTCCTAATTGTCTGCGTACGACCAAGAGAGAAGTCGCTTTAATTTGCAAGTCGCTTCTTGTATAATGCTGATTGATGAATTTATATTGGAAATGAGCTTTTTGCCTGCTGCAACCTGCCAGTGGCCATTTCTGAACCTCAAGCTGTCCTTTACTCTTGTCCTACTATCAGCATTTCGCTTTTGTACAGTTGAAGTTGTCATATTTTTGGAGATGCTGATTTCAACGGTCATATCCGAGGGTCATTAGAAAGCAGTTACAGAAGATAGACAGGTTGGGAATTTTAAACCAATTCAGCCTCTACCACAGGACTGCTACTGGTTTGCATCAGTTCAGGTGAACCATGTGCTCACTGAACCGGTTGTTAAACCGGTAGAATCCCACCACTGCTCTACCATGTCTCATCACCAACCAAACTATCCCGCCGGATTCTAATTTCAGATATTGTTTTTGCTGAATGTTACTCGGCTTGGGTTCTGTTAAGCGCAAAGGTCTTTTTTTTCCTACAGACAAATCATCATGGAGTCCAAAGTACACTTTCTTTTAATTTACAACTTAATTTTCAACCTAATTCGGAAGATTGATACTATAATGCTATTTGCAGAAGTATTGAAATGTCAGTAAGTTTTATTGTAGTAATAAAGAGAATTCCATATATCACCAGCTCTATAGGGATGCCGGCTTTTTTGCATAGATCTTCATAGCAACAACCACTGGCTAAATGGTGGCAATCATTAATTTTTAAAGAAGACATGGAGGATGATGGCTGGAGAAATGAAACCAGCCGTAAAGAATGAACTTTAACTTTGATAAAGGGAGATTGAAGTGTGCTCTTCAAAAAAACAATAAAGGAGGTTTAATCCGAGGTTTCTAATACTTGAAATTCTGTCTGCTCATAAAAGATTACAGTCCTGCACAAGCCATCTTCAAGCTTCTCCTAACGAATGAGCATCAGTGGTCCATGAATAATCAATGTCAATAATCCATCCTGGGGCCTGCCAATATGTTAATGGATCTGCCTCATCGTTATTGCTATGAGGCCATAAATCATTTCCATAACGTGGTGCTTAAGGAGATGAGGGTTCAAACCCCAGCCTTTTCTCAGTCTGGCTTGGGGAAGAAAAAAAACCCTGCGTTAAACAATGGCTGTCTAAACATTTCACAGCTTAGGTGCTTTGATTGTTTTCAGATGCTCGAGTAGTAAAATGGGATGGATTGTAAATCGATAATACAGGAAGACAAAGCATTTTAATAAGAATAGAAGGGCTCCAAGTAAATTTTAACTTCTATTTTATGCTATTGCTTTGGAGGTTACAGAGAGAGAGAGAGAGAGAGAGAGAGAGAGGAGGTTTTAGATATATATATATAAAACCATTATCTCTGTTTCAAAGCCGAAGAGCCAGCGCTGTCTGAAGACGTCTCTGTGGTCATGTGGCCAGCATGACTAAATGCCTAAGGCGCACGGAATGCTGTAACCTTCCCACCAAAAGGGTCCCTATTTTTCTACTTGCATTTTTATGTGCTTTCGAACTGCTAGGTTGGCGGAAGCTGGGACACGTAACGGGAGCTCACTTGGTTAACGCGGCGCTAAGGATTCGAACTGCCGAACTGCTGATGAATGGGGGGGCGGGGGGATAGATCTCATTTTGGCAGTTTGGATACTTATTATTTCTATTTGGATTCTGCATTTATTTCTTCCTATTTTTTTTTTTAAAAAAGATGGAAAACACAGTGCTGTTAACTTTTAGATAGAAAGGAAGCTGAAATGCCAGCGTGTATACCAATGCTTTGAAGAGCTGACGATTGTTGTTTGCTTTTGTAGATGATAGCTATTGTGCCCCATCTTCACCAATTCTCTGGTTTCTTCTTCCTAGCATTTACCCCGCAGTGCAGGCTCCCAACAAATCAGATTCTGTATCTCTCCAATGATGTAGAGGTTAAATCTAATCATAGTTTACTCGATTTGTAAATCATACAGGAAACTGAGTAGAATAACCTCAGCAGAACAAACCCCACCCTCTCTGAGTTGTTTGCTGAGGTGGGTGGCTATAGAAATCAAATAACCAATCTAGGAAGAAAGAATGGAGTAGGCAAACTCATAGCATAGACCAGCTCCATTGTATGGTTTCCATCAGTGATTCAGAAGTCCCAAATGGGCTTTTTTTTTCAAGAGGCAACCAGACTTTCTGTTTTTTTCTTTGACGATGTTTTGCTTCTCATCCAAGAAGCTTCTTCAAACTCTTCTTGGATGAGAAGCGAAACATCTTCCAAGGAAAACCAGAAAGTCCAGTTGCCTCTTGGGCAAAAAAACAAGCCACCTGGATGACTTGACCTGGATGACTGAGAATCTCCGTAGACATTTGGTGATTCAGAAGTGTTTATTCAACTTGTTCGCGCTCAAGATGCTATGTTAATGGGAAACGAGGAGAGATGTATTTAGAGACTACGTGGGTTAGGGCGGGAGTGGGCTGCCTGGGGTTTGGTGGGATTCAGGAGAGCTCCTAGCTCAGATTCTGTGCAGTTTGGAGAACCCCAAAACCCACTCCCGACTGGTGTTCTCAATTATTCTTTTACATAAAAAGGGGTTGCTTTGTTTGTTTAAGATTGTCATTGGGTGTCAACATTCTTAGATTTTTTTGGGGGGTGGTGGTGGTCCTTCAAGTCAAACTTCAAAGTCCCTGAAGTTTTCTTTGCAAGGTTATTCAGAAATGGTTTGCCATTGCCTGATTCCTAGGGCTGAGAGAAGGTGACTGGCCCAAGATCACCTAGCTCAGGTGTCCCAACCAGGGGTGGGATTCTACTGGTTCAGACCGGTTCAGGTGAACTGGATGTTAAATTTACATCTGGTTCGCCGAACTGGTAGTTGAATTGATTGGCTGGCCTCCATCAACCCACCCCTCCCCTCCCAGAAGTCCCTATGTGGCCTGTTTTGGACACAGGTAAGTGCAGGGCATGCACAGAGGCTCAGGGAGGGTGGAAAACCAGCCTCCCAGAAGTTCAGGAAGGCCAGAAATGGGTTTGTTTCTGGCTTCTGGAGAGCCTCCGGAGCCTGGAGAGGCTGTTTTCACCCTCCCAGAGGCTCGAGGAAAGCAAAAACACACCTGCCATGGTACAGGAGGCCAACTAGCTCACGCCCACCATGGCCACGCCCATGCAACAACTGGGCAGAGAACCCCTTGCTAAAATTTTTTTGAAGCCCACCCCTGGGCTTCAAAAATTGAATAAAATGAATAAAACAAGAGCATCTCCAGCCAGGTATTACAAGCTACCTTCCACCTGGAGTGAAAATGTAGGTATGGTAGCAGTGGGGTGCATTTCCAGAACGTGTAGGTTTTTCCCTTTCTGGAAAATGAAAATTTGACGCAAGAAGTGCTCCGGTCCTAATATTTGTATTCTGGACTGTAGAAACATATGGACCTTGGAGTTCTCTTTGTCAGACCTTCTGTTCTAGCTACCCTGGACAAATGGAATATGTCTTTTATTTAACTTGTTTCCCTTATCTCTAAAATCTACAGACAGTGGGTTAATAAACACAAAGGAAAACAGATGGTTTGGTGTTTATTATTTTTTCCCCTCCCGGTTTTTAAATACCTAATTGGAAAGGTTTAAATAGGTTTCTAGGAGTTTCTTCTGTTCCCGGATGTAATGGCAGGAAAAAAGAGCCAAAGACAGAAGTGGCTCCACAAAAAGACAGAAATACAATTAAAAACAAGATGACTTCTAACAGAAGTGGCAAACAGCAGCCAGGGTGGAAGTAATTTATCCTGCAAAATTGTCTAAATACATAAACTGCCCTGATATATGGAGAGAAGAGTGGGACAGTGGAAAATTTGATAGTTGTGTAAATTACTGAGCCAGGATGCCTTTGTGAAGCATGGAGGGGGGGTGCGGGGCGGGTTTGTTTAATGTTCTGACAACAAATTGAGATCCTGTTATGGTTATTGCGGTGTAATGCAGTAATAAAAATTGAACATGACACACAGCGATTTATTATTTGTGTATTTTTTAACCTTGAGTATCAGATTGTTTGCCCAAGCATATCCTTTGATTTGCTATGAAATTTATTGTTGGTAAAAACAATCAGATTTCCATTAGCGGATGTGCATGTCTCCTGGATGTGCGGGGGACAATGTGTGTGGGGCGTGCATATGTGGGCTCTGTGTGTAAGTGTGTGTGTGTGGGCACGGACGCATGCCACAAACCGCAGACGTAGGGAAAGAATTGAAGCCAGGCTGTAGGGCTCATGACAGGTAGGCTTATGACATTATATGGTAATTTGGCATGAAAGAATAATTGTGACACTCCACTTGGTGCGCGCGTATTATCGTGCTGTGAGGCTCAGTTCTCTGAAACACCAAATTATCTTCAACTACATTAGCCTGACAACCTATAATGCCTTGCAAAGGCAATTTGAGGATATTTTACAGAACGCCGGCAAACATGGCTTCCCATTACGGTGCCCATTAACAAATTTGTGTAGGGGGAAGGAAAAAAAAAGTAACTTTGATTTTTTTGATATTCCCCCTCTCCCCCTGCCCACCCGTAACCATTTTCAGTCTTTAGAAAGCACCATAAATGTGTACAACGTAATAGTAGTTTCGGGTTTGCTATTTATTGCTACTTCAGTGTCTACCTGGCGTATTGGAAGACAGATTAATTTTATAAACGGTACCTTTTCAGCAATATTTATATATTGACATGCATTTAAACAGTAGCCTCCAGCGAATGATGGAAAGAGGTAATATTAGGAAATGCAATTTGAGAGGGAGAAGGAAAACACAGGGGCCTGAATGTACCCTGAGATTTTATGGAAAATACTGCATAGCATTGTGGTTGCCCGAGGCTACTAGGAAGCAAACCCTTAGACATATTTCCTTATGCATATTTCAGCTGTGGTTGGGTCCACCATGCAGTGAATAGTATAATAGTATAATAACTACATCCCCACCTCCATTTCCCTGCAGGTTTTCTGTTCAAGATAATTCCTGCTAGAGTTTTTTCTAGATTTTGGACTCTGTCGCCGAAAGAACAATGGCCTTTTCTGTCCTTATTTTGTACTAATCCATCCCCCAGGGCCTTTACGTGATTATTACTGTACTTTAATGAATGCAATACCTTGGCGGCGGCTGTTTAAACAAAACAAGCATTAGGAAATAACTTTATTGAATGGTGGATATGGGTTGAGAGCAGGGGTAAGATTCCACCAGTATAACAACTGGTTTGGTGCTCGCATGCGCCAAATGTACACTCTGCGCGTGCGCTCCACATTTTAAAAAGCTGTCATGCCCCTGGTGGAGTCTGACTCTAAGGAAGAGGAGGAATAGCCAAAAGGGAGTCGGGGTGTGGCTCCAGAGGTGATGGAGGAGGCTGGGGAAGGGCAGAGGCCGGCTGAGCAGTCAGAGGAGGATCCAGGCCCATCCCCTATCCATCCTAGGTCATGCAGGGAGGAGAGGATCAGGGAAAAGCGAGGTCTACTCAGGAGGAGATTACCATGATCCTCCTCGTGGCTTGCAGGTGGGAGCTATGTATATAAGTTTGCAACTGCGCAGTTAGAATTTGCAGGAGTCAATTAGTGTTTACCTTGAAAGAGGTTTATCTTTGCTGGCGTTCCTCCCATGGACTTTTCTCGGTTATTTTCCTGGAGTTTATAATTAGTTATCTTGGCTTGCTTCGGAACTCTCATCAATGTGATTTGTTTTGGTTTTATGTTTGCCTCATTATTTACTTTTGTGACTTTAAACTGTGCCTAATAAAACAGTGAAGTTAAGTTGAAGGCTTTACTGGACTTTAATATATGTTTTGGGTTTTGAGTTATTTTGAGAGACTACGGATCATCACTAAAGCTCTAATACTTACCTTCTAAAGCAGCCCCTGTGTGTTCTGACCAAGGCTTCCAAGATCGTAATTACGCACATGCTTATTTTAAAAACAAGTCTTGTTTTATTGCAGTGCTGAGAATTATTTTCATTCCCAGCTGGGAATGAATCTTAAACAGTCCCTTGAGATAAGCACCTACCTTGCTTTCCTGTGAAGTGCTGCCAATAACAGAAGTGTCAAATGAACTACAAAAAAAACCCCAATCGAAGTTCAAAGAGAATGAATCTGAACCAAACAAATGACTTTGCTTCCTGCAAAGGTTTCATCAATTTTGCCTGTCCTTTATACCTTATGGGAGGGACAATCACCTCCCAGCCTTACTCCTGAGACAACTCTTTTGTTTCAGCTGCTCCCTCCTTCTAGCAGCTCTGTGCACACGCGCACTGGGAACAGGCTCCCCTGGGTCCGCTGCCTCGCTGCTGCACAGACTCCAGAGGCTCTGGAGTCAGCACCCCACTCCTAGATGGTCCT